GAGGGGGTGGTAGTGGGGACGCCGAGCGGGATGGTGGTGGTAGAACGAACGCCTTCCCCGCCCACGGCGCCTGTGGTAGGCCAACCGCCACACTTGGATGCGCACCTGCCTCCACGTTGCCTACCAGGCAGGCGCTCGGCAAGCTCTGGTTGTAGGAAATTAGCAGCCGGCGTGTTGCGCTGGTGGATGTTCCCTGACCAAGGGCGGCGAAATCCCCTCCCGCGGCGTGGAGATTTGCAGGCAATGGGCTACACGAGTACGCTTTTCCGCCCACGGTCACGCAATTTCCTCGCCGGGGTGGGGAAATTCGCAATCTTTGGGTGCCGAACGGTATCCTTCCCTGCCCACGCTGGGAAATTTGCAGTCGATGTTGTCCGTAAATTTCCTTGCGTGGGCAGGAAAGGATCCTTTCCCAGCGCAGGTGGCATGCAAAGGCTACTTTACATTCCAGTAGGTAAATCTCGAACCCATGTATTGCAAATCCCCGACTTCTGTACATGAAATTTCCCCACCCAGTAGCTAGTAAAATTCCCAATATTTTTTACAGTGTCCTTACAAAGAGCAGTCTTCATATTATGAGGAATTGTTTGTACGTACGAAGGATCGGTAACCACCATTACAAACTTATTTTCTTTGAATAAAAGAGAGCACCACTTTCGTAACAGACACACGACGTGCCCTTCGTATGACGAAGCCGAACCCTTCGTCATACAAAGTATTTGTTATAGACATTTACAGGAAATCTACAACAGTGACGCTGCCAAATTCCTTGTATATAGCAGCTCTTCGTTAGAAACTTACTGTGGACCTGAAAACTTTTATCGAAAGAAAGCAACGCGTAGACGCAAGTTTTCACAAAAATGTAGGTTTTTTTTCGGCGAAAAATTAACGGAAAAACGTTAACACTAACATTACAGTCAGATGACACATTCTTACGTCTTTGCACTCTTCGTTCCTTACAAAGCCTGCTCTTCGTAATACAAAGCCGAGCCCTTACAGTGTGGACTTAAAACTCAATACGTTTACCTAAAAATGTTAAAAACTACGCGCAGAATGTATTTGTGTGTTTTTGTACAAACATTAATCTCCAATCGAAAAATGGTAGGAGGCAGATTCCTCAGATAAACCACAACTGGTCCGCCAGTGCGACAGGGTGGTCCGGGGACGCGCCCGCCTCTCTGCCCGCTGCGATAAATACATGGCGATTTCTTTCTCGTCCTCTCTGACCTGCGCGAGTCCTTGGTTGCGGTGCTTCGACTCTCGAAGGTGGCGTGGCGCGGAGATCCAGACACCAATTCCAATTCCAGAGCGCTATGCGTTTCTTTTATGGCTCGAGCGCGCGGGGCGAGTTTTTGTATTAAAAAGAAATAAAAAGATCATTTCAGCTGGGCCGGGTCATGATTCGGGTCGGTCGATCGGGTCATAGAGTGGTCACGATGCTTATTCGATTTTGGCGCTGTTCTTGCTGCCCGCTAACGGTTGGCCGGTTGGCCCCTGCGGCCCCGGCCAGGCCTCCCCGGCCGCCCGTATGCTTTGGAGGTGACTTTCGGGAGGCACTACGCTACTGGGCGCCAAGCACAAACACCTGTGACGTCTGTCGTTATCTAAACCGCGTCCAGAGGAGACCGGCCGAAACCTTCAAGAGAACCGTCTGCCACCCGTGTGGTTTATTTTCTCTCGGTGGTGTCGAAAGAGAGAGAGAGAGGGTGAGTGGGAGGGGGAGGGGACCCCTGCATCCTTATTCCACCACCTTGACGACCATTACCGCCCATTATCGCTAAGGCAGTAGCCAGGCCCTGGTCGAGGGAGAGCGAGAGAGAGAGCCAGGTCGTCGTCGCGTGGCCTCTATGCCGAGTAAAAAGAGCTGATCGCCGTGCACGGCCAGGCGGTCGACACCACTGAGGCCTTGCACGGCACAGAACGGCGGTGCTGCTGGCCCGGCGAAAAACGAACGATCCACAACACCGTCAAAAATAGTTATCCAGGACTTCCGCAAAATGCCAGGGCCCGTCAAGATGACCTGAGCGGCGGTGGCGTGGCGTGGCGCGGTGTGGCCTCTGCAGGACTCCCCTCGTGGATACACGCCTGCCTATCCCCCTGAAAAATTTACGCGCGACGTCCGATCTCGCACTGTATGTGTGTGAGAGTGTGTGTGAGAAAGAGTGCTGGTGTTTGTGTGCGTGAGGGCTAAGCGAAGAGCTCTATTATTCACAGCTGTTATCTTCTATTATTCGCAGTTTCGATCAAATATTTGCAGTCGCCTGACTATTACACGAAGAGGTTGCTGCTGCACGCCCCCAGTCAGGGTGTGACCGGGTCGTGTGAGCTGCAGATGTACCGCTTGCGATTTTTAAACGACAATTTTGATGCCCTACAGTTGACGTTGGGTCGGGCAACGCGTCAATGAGTCTACATTTAAAGAACATCGCATGGCCCCGACCTCCCTCTCTGGGCCCGTGTTGCAGCACGTGCTTCTATCACGTGGACACCCCCTCTTCTACGCCGTCACTTCTGTTTTCAAAGAAAGTAAAAATATCTGGCGCTTTTGTTGTCGGGCCGCCTGGGAGTTTGTTCAGCCTGGAACAGATCGGGACCTGGCCTCACAATAGACCCTGTTGACTCTGTCAAGGAAAGCCCGTCGGAAAACCCGCTTTTGTGGTAATCGTATTGAAAGACAAAGATTTCTATCACAGTTTGCGTCAGAAAGCAGTGATAATACAATTATGGTGGCGAAGAGTA